AGACTTAGGGACTAAAAAGGTGTCATGATTCTCTTAACCAGCAGTAATCATAGCAAGATTATTTAGTGCTACCTATTGCTTACCCTCACCCAACTTCAAAAACCCCACATAAGCTGACATCCCTCTCATTCAACAATGTTATCTTCTGTAGTTCCTTCAGGAACCAATATTTTGTGCACTGAAAAAGTCTGTGCCCACTTTTGCTGTTTGCTGGCAACAAATCCATCAACCCACATCAAACCACACCAATTATTCACATGCCCTGAATCCTGCCAAGCCTTTAAACATAGGTTTCCTCCTTTGAAACCCCACTCCAGACACACACTTGGCTCTGGCGGTGCCTGGTGATCCTCTGCTGGGAGTGTGCTCCTGGAACTGCACCTGTGCCCACCGTACCCAGACATGGCTGATTGAGGCGGGGCTGGCAGTTGGCTGGTTGTGCCTTGTCTTCTTGAGTGTGGTAGAGAAAGGGAGAAGCAGCGATGCCGTACTGTGGCCAGGGAAACACGCCATCTGTCATACAAGGCACCAGATCTGAGGGAACCATGATGCGAAATACATTGCCTGGCTGACGCTCACTTGCAGAAATTCTTGGGTGCTGTGTGACGTGCAGAATGTGCCACATTGTTCCCCACCAAACATTTGCAGCCAAATGATTTGATCACACATCTGCAGGCCCAAAAGAAAGTAGGAGGATCTGCTATACTAGCAGCAACTGGCAAGCAGTGTACAAGAATACATGAAATAGAAGCATATTAATTCTGAGTAGAAGTAGCCTATGTCCAATACTTTGCCTCTTTTACAGATGCTTGATCTTGTGGAACAAGATGTCATCTGAGAAAATTTTCAAGAGTATGATATTTGCAGTAATGTGGGGGTTTTTTGTAATTTTTTTCTTATTTTGTATTTAGCAGATTTGCACAAAAGGGTGGAGTTCCATGCTGTAGGGGCAAATGAGTGAAGTGTTAGGAAATATATTATGAAGACAAGTTCAGGCTGTCATTAGGGAAAACAAGATACGTGTTTTGATTTTCTGTATTTTGCCCTGAAGAAGCATGTGAATCAAAGCTCAAACTAAAAAGCTGCCATATCAGAGGAAGTGCCCATGAGAGAAACAGGAAACCCATACTTCAAAGGAGTCTGGATTTCACTCTTCTTTCATTTCGGTTTAAAGAGACAAGAGATATCAGTAATAAATTAGCGCGAAGTCAGTGATATCTGTGAAACTGAAACCAGGAAAAATCAAGAGTAATAATAGTGAAATTAGAAGAAATGTTGGGTTGGTGAGTACAGAGCTTAATTCCACTGCTGGAAGGCCTGATATCTGGTGTGATATTGGCAGGTACTGAAAAAAATTGAGGACAGAGATAACAGGGAAACCAAAGGCAATTTTAAACGTATCGAGGCCACTTTTCATCACTACATGCTTAATGCACTTGTTGTCTAGTGACTAAATTTTGCTGTATTCTGTTTTCCCTGGTAGTTACGTCTACCTGATGCTTGCAGCTTAGATGGATTTCTCTCACCCTGTGTAGCTGCATGTTTTCAGTATGGAAAATGAACACATCAAACAAATATTTCAGAGGTGAAGTTACAGCACTACTCAGTGCTCGATACCTCACTTCCCATTTGTGCCCTGTGAGACCTCAAGTTGCAACTCCTTTCTTTTTTTTCTTTTTCCCAGCACAAAAGCTATGGCACTCACCTCGAGTCATTATATTTTGACCTCTCAGGAGTTTCTCTTTCAAGATACAATTTTGCTAAGAGAATAAAAGCCAAGCTTTAGTAGGAGGTAGCAACAGCTAGCGTGTGAATCTGCTGAAATCCAGTGAGAAAAAATCACATAAAAATTTAACAGACTACTTTAAAAGTTTTCAAGAGGAGGGTTTATGTATTACTAGCAGTGAGGTGCAACTTCTCTTTCAAGGACTAACTTTTAGGGTTTGGGTCATGTAACCCAAATGGACCAATCACAGTGTTCCTTCTCATGGTGCTTGGTATATAAGGGCCCCTTCTTTGCCTGCTGTGTTGGGAGGATTGCTATTGGTTCTTTGTCATCTTTCCCTGTGCTGCTGTGCCTGTCTCCTGTTTTCACCCTGCAGAGGAGCACCATTCAATGGAACAGATTCTCTTCCTCTCCCTCCCACCCCAGGTGGGAGAGACACAGCTGCTTTTCTGTTTCTTTTGGACTATCACTGGAACTCTTGGGCATTCCCATCTGCTGCCTAGTCCAGTATGAAAGTTTTTTTTCTTGTGTGGGACCTTGTCATCTGGAAAGTGTGGGTCCTGTATTAAGGTATTTTCTTGTATCTGAGCATAATTGCGTTCTTGTATGTATATAGTTTGATATTCTCACTGTAACTGCTAGTATTATTCTTTTTTTCCATTAAATTGCTTGAAGCAATTAATTCAACCTTAAGGCCTCTCTCCCTGGTTCTGCTGTTATCTTCCCCTGGTGGGAGGGTGGAGGGATCACAGTGAGCATCTGTCAAAGTTTAGTGGCTGGCCCAGCCTTAAACTTCAACAGTGTATGAGTGACACCCTATGTTATAGATTAGCTCAGACTGTAAGGGTGAACATTGCCAGCCCTTGGGCAGATGAGGGCTTGTGTCACGTCTCTGGTATGTTTTCCCCCTTAACTGCTGAGCAATGTTCCTACTGACACCTCTGGTGTGCTGATGGTAGCAGCAGCCACTGTCAGTGGTAAGACAGATAATTTGGTTTGTGATGGGTATCATGGAATCAAACACGAATCTCATTTTAATTATGTTTTATTAAATAGTGCCTCTTCCTTCAATGACTCTTTCACCCTTCCTGAAATGCCTCTCACTGAGTGCTGCTCCCTTTGTGAGTTCAGTCCTTCAGGTGGGACAAAGGAGGTGGTTTATGGTGATGTGGGTGTTGAACTTTTCTAGCTGTTTTACTTTCCCTTTTAAATGCTGCAGTCAGGCCCAGAGAGTGAGTTTCTCCTACGCTTTGTGTGAGTGTGAGAAGCAGGTTGTATTTTATTACTTTAAGTTAAAATTAATGCTTTGCAGCTTGTGTTCACACTGGCAATGAAATGACAGCAGGAGTGAGGTGAGGGTAAGTGATAATGTCTTGGCTTTCGACACTTAAAATGAATGTGTGCGTGTGAAGTTCTGACTCATTAATTCTTTTTCCAGAGAGCCGTGTGACTGAGCAATGCTCTTCAGTACTGTATGGATTTTAGATTAAACAAAGAACCCAGAATAACAATCACTTTGTCGTTTGATGGAAATGGTGGGTTTGGGGTTTTTTGACATTTTTGTATCAAAAAGTATGTGAAAACCTTGCATGTTCAGGTTTCTCACTGTCACTCACATAATTTAGCAATTATAAGGACACAAAGTGCCCCAAGCCACATTCCTTGATTAGTTTTCTTCAGTCCCTCAGAGATTATTACAAACCACTTTAAATGTGTGAGACTGTATCTATAATGATATGATAGTATAAGGTGTTTTATGGTCATCAGAATAAACGTTAATATAGAGACCACATCACCTGAAGGCCTGAGATGCATAAGGAAAAGAGGAAGCCACACTAATCATGCAAAACGTATGCTTTAAGCAGTTTCAAAGCACAGAAATGTGCTTATTCCAAAGAAAACAAAGAACATCCATCCTTTTTACTCCTCTCCTGTAGATATTACTGCAAAGAACAACTTGTTCAACTGATTTTACTATACCCTGCAGTTTAAGAACTATCATCAATGCATACAATAGTTATCACAGTAAGGAAAAAACTGCACTGTGCTTAAAAGAAAACAAAGTGAAAACTCAACAAAGAGTTATATTTTTCATTCTTTAGATTTCACCAGGTTTGTGTTGTCCCAAAGCATTGAAAATGTCTGACTCTTTTGTATAACAAAGTATATTAAAAGTGACTAGCATTTAATCCATCAGGATTGCTCTCTTTGGAATGGCATGGCAGATGGCTGGGCAGTACTACTTCTCACAAAAATGATTGCTAATCAATCTATGTACGTATGTGGTTCACTTCACCCACTCAGCTAAATAAAGTTTGATAGAAGAGTGAACCATGGAATGTTAAGCTGCTTCTGAGCTTTTAGCCCAGTAGTAGGATACACATTTAGAGTCAAAACTACACCCACAGCAACATTTTGAATTTATATAAAATATTTCGTGTTCTGTTGAAAAACAACAGACTTGTGAAGCTGTCTTTGTCTTTCACCTGAGATGTTTCTTTTCCATTAGCTGTTATAACTTGCAACCTGAAACCTCACTTCAGGTAATTGATGAATCCACAAAAAGCAGTAAAGAACAGAGGAGACTGAAGTCTACTGTGTTTTGAGTTACACCTCCATGAGCTTTGTCTCTCTCAGATCTTTTATGTGATGTCTCTGGCTGCAGGGTTTTCTCTCATTGTATATCAATTGACTGTGATTTGAATTATGCCTTCTCAGTGAGGCTATCTTGGTGTTACTGAGAACGTCGTTTATATTGCATTTTCTTACACACAGTGGGTGAAGACTGGGAAATATCAGTAGTGTAGATAACATTTCTGTGTGCAGATGTGTACACTTATTACCTAAAACCCCCGTACTTTCTTGCTTTTAGTCTATGTTCCTCCAATTTTTTGAATTTGTATTCTGAACACATATAATCATTATACTTTCTGCCTGGGAAATTTTATATTTAAAATAATTTTTTAAGGCTTCTTTTTTACTCTTAACTAATGTACTTCCTAGAAGTTTTTGATGTTCCTAATCTCCATATGCCATTCTTCCAGATGAAACATAGAAATGGAACATCTAATAGCCATTTGTTAAGGAGAGTAAAGGGGTTTTTCGGTTGCGTCATTATATTACACAGAAAAAGCACTTTTATGATGGCAGAAACCTTGACTGAGAATCAAGTGGTTATCTGCAGGAAATGAGGTGAATGTAAACACAAAAACTAAACTGCTGAGAAGAAGTTATTTAGTTTTTAAAATTTATCTTTCTTTTGTTCTTCAAACAGTGGAAGCTCTACATTTGGGAACACTGATGGCAGCACATGGTTATTTCTTTCCAATCTCAGACCATGTTCTAACACTAAAGGATGATGGCACCTTTTATCGATTCCAGGTAAGTGTTTTCAACATGTTCTTGACTTGTTCAAATACAAGCTCATATTAAAGACATTAAACAAAGGTTCATAGCAAATCTAGATCATACTTTGTCTCTTATGTAATCTAGTAAATGGTGGAAATTCCCCTTAAAGTAAAAAAAAACATGTAGAAGGATTTTATTTAGAAATTGAGACAGCAAAGTGTTAAGATGACAGTGACCACTTTGATTGCTGGAAAAAAGTGTAATAATACTAAGTGTGAAAGTATGTATCATGAAATAATATTGTATTTTGGAAATATAGTAAAGGAAATAATTTAGATTGTATTGACTCATTCCTAACATAGTCTTAATTTGGAAAAGAGGAGGTATTTTACTTATTAAGCCTCTAGCAGAAATCTGATAAAAAATGGAGGGTCATATTTCTATTTCTTGTGTGAGGATTTCCTTATTAGTAAGAAGGTATTTTTCAAACGAGTATAGACATGTTTCTGCACTGATCTGTTGGTCCCATTGTGTACAACAAACACACAGATGCTTCAGAACAAACCGAAAGGATGTATACGTGTGTACATTCATACCTATGCATACACATGTATATTCAACTACATGGTTGTGGAGCAAATACCTGTAACTTGAAAGAAATAAGATTTCACAGTATGTGATTATGTATTCTAGAGCAGGAAGTAACATTGTTTGCCATGTACCACCTTTGACAATGGTGGATGTATTCTGTATTGCTCTTCCTATTAGATGGTCTTCCTGCTAGGTTTCAATAACAGCTACTCCAAGATCTTCCCTAGATATTTGTTGCTTTGAAATTATACGATTATTACTATGAAACTGATTATATGAATACCATGCTTCTGTAATCCTGCTCTGTTAGTTCTATTACATAAATATAATATCAGAGAGAAAAAAAATCTACTGTCTTCAAATTATTTAAGTCTAAGCTTTGTCTTAAACATTCTTTAAAGAAGAAGCCATCAAGAATAAAATACCATAGAGATTGTGGTTTTTAAAATGAAAACTGTAATACACCAATCATAGTCACAAGCATTGTATTAGATTAATTGCCATATGTGACTTCCGTCGATATTTTGGGTTGAGTTCCATAGACCCACATAAAGGAAGAGAAAGATTCATAATATTTGGGCTAACCCAAAATCTTAGAACAAGTATCATTAAATAGAATACAGTCTGGCAAGAAAGGGAACGATTATTGCATACATACATAAAATATTATCCTATTTTCCTATGTAGATCCTGAGTCATACAGCATCAGCAGGATAGTAAGTTACATGCGTATATGGGTACTACAAAGAGCAGTCACTCCAAACCTCCTCCCCCAGATCCACAGTTACCTTTGGTCCTGGAGAGAGGATTTGAAGTAAAAGGTTTCCTCCTCATGGTGCTTCATGCTCCTCAGTCTTCAATATAAAGAGGAGAGGGATGACACATGGATGGGAGGGGGGGCTTACTGCTCAGGCAAAAGCACTGATATGGTTATGGGGTAAATGAAAAGCGAAAGGAAATTGTAGCATGGTTGAAGCTCCAGATCTTGGCTTGTCCCTGCATAAGCAGCAGCCAAAAGGACAAAATATCTGAGGACTTCATTTTACAGAGAATAGGACTTATTTATAGGAGTAATAATCACTGAGTTCTGCACAGCTGCTGGCCTGCTTCTCTCTCAGATACAGGAAATGAGAACCTCTGCTAGCATGGTATTTTGACAGAAGAAAAGTGTAGATTAGGATTGGCTGCACTGTGAATGATTGAGAGTACTTCAGCTACCCTGCCATAGGCTGTCCTCAGAGAGGTCTACAGCTTATGTGTTTAGACATGAAGCTTCAGTGAGGGTTAGACTGTAAAATAATACCAGCTGATTTAAGTAAGTTAAGGATTTGGCACTTATTTGACATATGCATATGAAATCACATAATTTCCTCAAGTGTTTCTCTGTATATATCTGCAGTATTTTGGTTGTTTGCTGCTCTGTGGTCCATTTTGGTTTGCTATTCCTACCTTAACAACGTTAAAACAACACAATTTTAGCTGTTAATATAGAGCATGAGAAAAAAATCATAGTGGTGTCATACCTGTTAACTGGAGTCATAACAGTAAAACTTATCTCATTACAATTTCACATTCCTCACCAAATGAAGGCTAAGATAAAATTGGTTACTGAAGCTATTAAATTGGAAGACAAAAACACATACTCAATGGGGAGGAAGGTTTAGCTATAAATGCATGAATTTTTCACTAGAGTAGTTGTTCAGGTGTTTTGAAAATAGGACCTCTGAGTGTAGGACAGGTTTCACAAACTTCTGGATATTTTAATAGAAAGAGAAACCCATGCACCTGCCAGCATTGAAAAGCTCAGAAGCCATCCCTGCAGAGAAATCTCTGTCTGCAGTAGAGACTTGACCTGCAAAAACCAGGCTTGCTACAAGGATGGTCTCCATGCACTTCATTTTTTTGTTTTCCAAAGGGTGACACATTGCCTCCTGATAGTAAAATTAATTCCAGTTTGTTTTAAGCAATCTTCTGTTGTGTAGCAATATCTAAAAGCAGTGGAGAATGCACTTCATTTGTTCAAATGCCCTTTTATAGAAAAATTATACTTTTTTGGTTATTACCTTTGCCATCAGGAGGACTGTAGAGTCATTGTTGTATCTGCTTTTTAAAATAATGTCACCTCAGATATATATAAAAAATAATTCCAGATAATTCTTAGACCTACTCAGGTGTAATTAGGTTAGTTTCTGTGATAACAATTTAATTCAGATGGGATGGATCTAAATATTAATTGCCTTACACAGAGACAAAATTTCTTATTAGTCTCAACAAGGCCAAGCAGAAAATTCAGGGATAGTGGTATTTTTTGAACCAGCCTGAACAGCTGTATTGCCCTTTTCTGGTAATTTAAGCCTGGGATCAAAGAAAGAGATGAATACCTGCTAACCACTCTCCTCTACCTGAGAGCAGATAGATATGAGGGACCAAAATTGGAAAAGCAAGTTGTGTTTAAGAAAGAAGATCTTCCTGGGACCAGGAATTACTTGCTAAGACCTTTCATCCATGTCCACATAAGTGATAATATGTCTATTTGGGTGAGGAATACCTGACCCTCCCTCTTAGCTGCTAAATTTCTACAATAGTCTTCCAGGGAAAGATGTATTGATTTTTTTCTATAAGTTGCCCATGCGTACTAAGTTGTCTCAATGTTCATAGTGAAAAACAGTTTTTCCTAATCTTTTGTCTTTAAACAAACTCCTAGGATACTTGTGGCTAGCAATAATCGCACTCCTACTTTGTGATGAGATTAATTCGTGATTTAATATACATTAGTTTTCAGAGATGAAGTTTAGGTTCTGCTGCTGTTTTGTAACTTTTAAGATAAAAGGCATAAATAGCGGAGAAGTGTGAAAATTGGAACCGTTTCTTGTGAAAGCATGAGCCTGGTGAAGATAGCAGCAAAACTCCTGGGGTTTGGCAAGATGATGTCACCTGTGATGTCTTCTCCTATTCTACCACTGGGAACACTTTCTTGACAAATGCATTTAACCTCTTTGGCCTTCTTTTCCCATGCTTAAATTGAGGGTAAAACTATATAGCAATCATTGTAAGGATCTTGGAGTATCTTTGCTGCAAAATAGTGTAGAGCGTGAATTGTTGTAGATCCTTGTGTCTCAGGTGGAATTACATTGCTTCCCACATCTCAAGAGTCAGCGCTGCTCAGCTGGCTGCCTTTTGGCTCAGTCCTGGCCATTCTGAGTACTGGAACTGTGGCTGAACGTCACAGCTCTCCAGCCACCCCCTGCAGCCTTGCTGGATCATTTTCTATGCCTTGAGGGAAGCATTTTATTGGAAGCCAGATTTTAGAAATAAAAAAGGAGGTTATCTTATCTAGCATTTGGCAGATTTTATTTGGCGCTGAAGGTGGAAGGACTAATTCATTGTCTCTTCAGCTCAGGCTCAGCACATACACATTCTGTTTAGGTTTCAAAGAGAGGATAAATATTTTCAAATCCATGTGTCTTTCTAACTGCCCTATCAGTCCCGTTTTTTCTTTTTTAACTCCCTACTCAGACACACTTTTCCCCATCTGCTCTCCTTTCCAGGTTAGAAAAGAAGAGGCGCAGAGCCAAAAATCTTTGTCTCCAACTTCCTCAACCTCTTTTTAAATAATTCTGAGCTAACTGTGGAGCACGACTTCCTGGCATTCTTTCATGGGCTCGAGAGCACTAGACCAGTGATCTTATGCTTTTCCTTCACCAAGACATTGTTTGAGTCAGCTTCAGTGAATGTAAAACCAAACGCCCATGAATTCTGCCATCCATCATGCAAAGCACTTGAGATTGTGTATGACTGTTTTTTAGCAAAGACTTGATTTCTGCTGTTTATAAAGACTCCCTGGTGCCTACAAGAAGAATAGCAGCAATATGCAAAGGAAGGCTTATGAGTGATTTGAATATTCCTCCTCCATCCCAGTAATTAGATTTTGAAAGATTCCATGGAGCTGAGCAGCTTCAGAAACAACAGTTCTTTCCTTAATGCTATCAACAAGAAGTAGCTGAAAGATTCTTAATGATTTCCCTCAGTAATGCAGTTTAATGCATAGAAATTAATCATGTTTTATAAATGCTGATGGGCAACACTGGTTTTTACAAGTGGCTGTTTCATTATCTTGGGTATTATTATTGATTAACGTTCTGGTAGGGACAAAGCAGACCTATTTGTTCTATCACAAGATTGCTCACGATGCATAGCAGCCACTGCTGCCAATGTGTTTAGTGTGGAATAAGTGCTATACTACTGGATTTTTTTTATATGACTTTATTAACAGGAAAATTATGGATTCCTGTGGTTCATTTTACCTAATGATACTAGTCTATAATAAAGAGATCTAGTATGCTTTTTTTTTGTGTATGCAAAATCAGTTTTCTGTCAACGGCATCAAGTTCCTTGTAAGAGCCTATTTTGTTCCAAATGCTTAAATGGCTCTACGAACACAT